AAATTACAGTTATGAAATAGCAATGAAAATAATTTTATGGTTGGGGGTCACCACAACATGGTGGCCACGCCCACTTGGTGGTCACGCCCACTTGTCAGCCACACCCACTTGGCCACGCCCCTGGCACCCGGGGTCACCACAACATGGGGAACTGTATTATGGGGTCACGGCATTAAAAAGGTTGAGAACCACTGCCCTAGAGAATGAAATATTTGAGGGAATATTATATTCCCCCTAAAGGACAAGAGGAGAAACATGTTGTTAAAGGCAGAAATAGGAGAAACAGCTTCAAGCAGAAGCCTGAAGTCTTTAGAAATGGAAATTTTGGGCCCCCCCATTCATAAGCAAAATGCCTTCAGCCACAGCTCCCACAGAAGGCTGGAGCTGATGGGATTAGAAAAACAGAGACTCCTAAAATCTACATTCCCCATCCAGCTCCAAGGACATGACCTCCCAGCCACAATGGGAGTCAGGCACCAATACTTAGAATACGAAAAGGGCACATTCAAACACAGGTCAAAGTACATTTCACAAGGAACAGGCATCTCAAACACAAAGTCCCAAAGAATGTATAAAACCCCACCTACTCTCAACTCCATTTTGTCAGCTGTCCCAGAACCACATGCTGTTGTCGGTTCTGTTCATCAATAAACAGAGACCTTCTTTCCTAAGCAGCTAGCCTCCATTTTATTTTTCAGCGTCTTTTTCCCGGGTTGAAACTGGACCTGATTCTTCCAACAGAGCTTTCCTGAATATATAAATGTGGCACCCCAACTTCAGCACATAGACATACATAAAAGGGAAAAGATCTGTAACACATTCACACACCTCACAAAGGACCAATTTTCCTATAATATTACCAGTCCCAATACCACAAATTTGTAGCTATCTCAATAGCTGAACTCTATGCTATCAAATAAAGTACAGGTAGTCCTTGATTTACAACAGTTCATTTAGTGACCATTTAAAGTTACAACAGCACTGAAAAAGTGACTTATGGCCATTTTTCACACTTATGACCATTGCAGCATCCCCATGATCATGTGATCAAAATACAGATGCTTGGCAACTGACTCATATTTATGACAGTTGCAGTGTCCCTGGGTCATGTGATCATCTTTTTGTAACTTTCTGACAAGCAAAATCAATGGGGAAGCTAGATTCACTTAACAACCATGCAGTGATTCACTTAACAACTGTGACAAGAAAAGTTGTAAAATGGTCGTAAGTCAAGGAATACCTGTACTTTCTTTTCAAGTAGCTCATCCAGTGCATTTCTTTCATGATCCAGCTTGAAACCAGATCAGAATTTTCTAACTGTATCAGAACAAGGGTACAAATTTAATCCAAGTTGATTTGAAATGTAATTAGCAAAATGTACTTGTTTCTTGTCTTTTGGGACTTCATACAAACCTGAGACTATTCCACTGTTTCATTTCACAAAAGCTCAAAAGTAAACAATTGTAAAATCAATTGTAAAATCGCTCTTTAAGCCATTTTAAAATGCATAAATTATATACCTAATTATAAAAAGGATATTACAGTTTCCAAATTACCTGCTTGTTGGCTTTCAACACTGCCCTGAGGGTTGCTATCTGTTCCCGTTTTGTACTCAGCAGGGACTTTAATTTCATTATTTCTTCCATCAAAGCCTCCTTGTCCTTATCAATCATAAGTGCCAGTTCACGGGCTGCTGCGCGCTGCCGGGACAGCTGCAGCGACCGGTCTACCGCTTTCTGCAAGTGCTTGATTTGGTCCCGTATTATGGCATTGAGGTTGTAAATATTCATCGGCTCTTTCCGAATGTCACTGGTGTCAGAAACCGGGGAGGAAGGAGGGGCTGTAATGACAGGAGAAATGGTTGGGGTCTTTGTTGGACTTGGCTCTTTATTGGCTTCAGTGCTCTCTTTTGAACCCTGTTCCGTTGGCACCCTGGCTTCTACAGGGAGCACCGTTGCTCTCCTGGCAAGGCGGGGAGATAGAAGTCCTCTTGGATCATCAGGCCCCTTCAAGCTCCCGCTTCTAGTAACTCGGCTTTGCCTGTAGTAGTCCAGCATAACCCTATTGGGCGTCTCATTGTTGCAGAGACAGACATGATGATAGAGCTGAGCGAGCTCTTCACTGAAAGTCACCAGCTCATCCTGAGCGGCATTGAGGGTGTTGTGGTTCTCGTTGGCGACGCCTGTAATCCTTTGCAGTTCCTTCTCCATCTGCATCATTTTCTCATGGCTTTCCTTTGTTGACTTTTCTAAGCCGGATACCTGCTCATCGTAGATTTGGATCTTGCTCTCATACTTGTCCTTTTCTTCAGTGTAGCTTTCAACAAATTTATTATACTTCTCTTTTAAGGCTTTGATTTCGGCTTTGAGGTCGATCACCTCGGTAACAGCTACCTTGTATTTACACTCTAGGATCTCTAAGCCATTTATGTCCACTTCATAATCATGGGTTTCTTCCCCAGAATCCCGGCCTTTCTCAAAATCCACGTCTTTCAGCTCTTTGTGGCTTTGCAGACCCCTCATTGCGTTGACATGTTCAGTGAGCCTATGGACCCGTTCGTGCTGCTCAGTGAGGGCCCCTTTGGTGTGTTCCAGCTGGGTCTGAGATTCCTGAAGATTTGCCAGCAGAATAGCTTTCTCGCGCTCTACCTGCGGTAGCCCAGAAAAAGGATATAAATATCTCAAGAAAGGAACTGGGGTACAAGGGCTCTACAATTAAAGGTGCAGTTTAAAAGCGGAACCTTATACGGTGCAAGTATCCTTGACTTAACCACCATTTGAAGTTACAATGGCACTGAAAAAAGTAACTTACAATTGATCCTTGTACTTATGCTGTCACTGCATCCCCATAGTCATATGAAATTTGGGTTCTTGACAATGAGCATGTATTTAGGAGGGTTGCAGCATTTCAGGATTATCTGGTTGTTATTTGCAATCGTCTGAGCTGGTTTCTGACAAGCAAAGTCAATGGGGGAAGCCGGCTTTGTTTAATGACCGCATGATTCTCTTTAAAATTGTGGCAAAGAAAGGTAGTCTGACTCATTTAACTTGCCTTGCTTAGCAACAGCAATTCTGGTCCCAACTGTGGTTGTAAGTCAAGGATTACCTATATGTGTGCATGGATTGCTGCACAATTCAAGAAGCATGTTCCTCCTAATTAAGTCGTATTTCCTTTATATATATATATATATATATATATATATATATATATATATATATATATATATATATATATATATATATATATATATATATATATATATATATATATATATATATATAAATTTTTATTAATAATACAAAATTAAAAACACATTGGACATAGATATGACATCACTGGTTCCATACATCTTCTGACATTTTACAGTAGTATTAGTACTCATATAGACATATAGTTCTTGAGCTTTGCTCACTATTTATAATATAATATTAACAATTTTTCCCTTATTTCTGTATATCTATTTATCTTTTAAATATACATTTGTCTATAATCTATATTTTATTCTAACACTATACATTTGTCTTGGCTACCCTCTTATTGTCTATCCAATCATAAAATTGTTCCCAGATTTTGTAGTACTTAGTTTCACTTTTATCCTTGAGTTCCCATGTAAGTCTATCCATTTCAGCGCAATTGAAAATTTTCAGTAATATTTCCTCTTCGGTTGGAGTATCTTTCTCTTTCCATTTTTGAGCGAAGGCTATTCGTGCCGCTATTACTATATGCAGTAATAAATAATTTGTATCTTTCTTATATTTTCTTTCTATAATTCCCAATAAGAAAAATTCCGGTTTGGCCTCTATATCTATTAGCAAAATTTCTTCCAGCCATTTCTTTAATAAGTTCCAAAATTTTTGTGCCTTTGGGCATTGCCACCACATGTGGTAGTAATTCCCAATGGTCTCTCCACACTTCCAGCATATCGAGGATTTCCCCTTGTTCATTCGTGCTAATCTTTAAGTCGTATTTCCTAATCAACCGCATACAGCTAAAATAATCGAAGCTTTATCAAATGCACTATTTCAAATGCTACTCGGCAGACAAGTGGACTGTGTATAAAATATAAGTCTATGTGAGTCTTTTAAAATAAAAAAAACAAACCTGAATCGCTTTTCCATCATCTGAAAAAAGCTTAAACGTTTAAGATAATAGAAATAGCTTGAGCGGTATGTCTGTTTTATTACTGCTTTGTCCTTATCATAAAGCAGTCTTGGCAACTTGAAGATGTGTGGACTTCAATTCAAGTTTGACCAACACTGTCATAAAGCATCTAATGTTGCAGCAACCGCAAATATGAACTTCCTCATGAATATAAAATGAGACTAAGGGACTATTAAAATGAGACTAAGGGGTATCAAACATTGCCTATAATTTTTCTAAACCTGAAAACTTCATTGTACAGTTTCAAATGCATATTTTATTGCATCTGAAAAAAATATTCTAACAATTTAACTATAAAACATACACAGACAAAAATCAATCATTTTAAATGTAAATGTTTAGCTTGCTTGATGAACAATAAGGAACAAACTTAATTAGTTTGCTGCAGTGTAGTCATTACTATTTCAAATCCCTTGATGCATAAAAAATAATTTATGAAAACATTTAATGGAAATATAATTAGAGCACAGCTGAAGATTGACTGATTGGATTTATATCCTGTTGCAATCTCGTAATGACAAGTTAGTATGCAGCATCTGTAAAATCTGTGAAGCCAGTCCTAAGAAAGGGATTGAAAATCAAACAACCAAGATCATAGATGCTGTTATAAAATCTGTGCTATATCTATCTCTAGGATCTGATGTACAATTCTGATTGCAAGATAAAACAGTGCTGGAAAAAGTGTAAAAAAGGGCAACCAAAGTGAGTAGAGGGATTGGGCTCTTTGTCTACAAGGGAAAAAAAAGATTGAGTTTTTTTAGGTTTGCAAAATGGTTATTGAAGGGCTGCATGTTTAAGGTATATGGAATTGTACAGGGTATGGAGAAAATCAACAGAAAGAATTTTTTTTCTTTCCCTGTACAAATACTGAGACCCCAAATCATCCAATGAAGCTGACTGGAACAAAGAATTAACTTGAGGAATGTATTAACATAAGAGATGGCAATTGCCACTAAACTGAATATCTATACAAGGGAACATGTTAGGGCCAGGAACTCTAGATTCTTAGCCTGCTGTTCCCACACCCAATCAGAACACACAAGACATAGAGATCTTTTCCCAATTCATTCCATATGGAAGAAAAGGATGCTTGGGATTAATTTCACAACGCTCTCAGCATCACAATTTATACATTGCCACAGAAGGAAAACATAAACTATCATTGGTTCACAGCACTGGAGGCACTGAAAATCCTTTACTTAGTAATGTAAATGCTGGGGCAAAAAGTAGAAGGGCAAAAGATGGGACAAGTCAAATTGTATTGTAGTGCAAAATAGACGCATAAAGTATTCCATTAGAAAGACAATCAGGTTCTGTAAAGAACATCAGAAAAACAAGACAAACACTGGTCAAAATCTCTGTTAAATAGGAGGTAAATGAGCTCTTCTGTTGAAGCAGGGTCACCCATTCAGATGGAGATAGAGGGCAATATAACAATGGTCTTCTCCCAGTAAACAAAGCAAGGCCGGCAATGATCTTAGGTAGCATCAGGAAGCAATAACTTGGGTTTGTCAATTCAGTTGGGTTTACAACCTGCAAGGGACCTCCCTTGCCTTTCCCAAATGAATGGGGAGGTATTAAGTATATAAAGTCATAAAATATTAAGATACAAATGCAACACTAATACAAATAAAATGACCCACTTTAATACATGCTCAGTCGCTCAAGCCTTCGTCATCTCACGCTTGGACTGTTGCAATGTGGCCTTCATGGGGCTACTCTTGAAGAGCATTTCGGAAGCTACAACTACTGCAGAGGGAGGCAGAGTCGGCAGTTCTTGGGGCCCCTTGGGTTGGGAACAACTTGCCTCTAAATACCAGCTGCAGGAAATAAGTGTGGGAGAAGGTATGTCTCCAACTGGCCGTTGTGAAAAACAAATGCTAGGCTTAGATGGACCTTGGCTCAATCCTGCTGGATTATTTTTTATTGTTATGTTTATTTTTATGTTAGGTGGGTGTCATGGCCTCCTTAGAGGCCAATTCGGAGGAAGAGTTGGAACTGGGAGTGGCTGAGAAGGAAGGCAAGCCAGGGGCTGTGGGTGATGCAATCCTGGGCCCCTCAGGCATTGGGGGAGGTGGAGGACAAGACAGAGAGCTGCCTGTCTGCACAGACACAGGGGAGGAGTGGCTGCTGACAGCAGTGTTGACAGGCAGTTAATCCCCTATGATGAGGAACAGCTGCCTATTCCACTCGATCCAAGGGCAAGGAGAGTGGAGCATAGGCACACCCAGAGAAGGGCTGCAAGGCTACTCAGGAGGAGATTGCCCCACCCCTCCTCAGAAGGAACACCTGGAGGGGAGTAACTTAAGGAGAAGCCAGAGAATTAGTCTTTGCCAGGAACAATTGTTTGTTTTGGATTATATTCCTCCAGCTTTGACTCATGACTTGCCTTGCTTTGGGGACTGCTGTTTGTCTTGCCTTAACTTTGTGGACTGTTTTAGCTCTTTGTTTTACCTCTGAGCTGTCTTTGCCTTGTACCTTGTTGTTGCCCTGAGGAATTTATCTTATGCCTGGACTTTTGCTTTGTGGACTTTCTTCCTAATTTATGGACTGTTGTATTGGGGACTGTGGGTGGAGCCTTACTGGTCATTGGAAGGCCATTTGTTTAACACTTCTCAAGAGCAATAAAGAACTCTAAAGGCCTGCCTTGCCTTGACCACCTGGATCATAACAGTGGGCTACAAAAAAAAAGCAGTAAAATGGTAGTAGCAATTCAAAAATGAATCCAACAAAAAAAGTGAACAATTGATAGAAGAGAATGTGTGAAGCTGAGGGTTGAACTATGGCAGGGGTGTCAAACTGCCGGCCTATGGGCTGGATGCGTCACCAGGAAACCATGCCCACCCCATTGCCGGCAATGGGGGAAAAGCTCTGATACGTTGCGCAACATCACGTGACTTCGGCCCAGACAGCACCAACAAGCAGTGGGCTCCGATCTGCTTTTCTCAGACAACTGAAGACCTTTATGCTACCTTTTCCAACACAATGGAAGCCCAGAGGTGCATGAAGGAAGTGCTCTGCATAAAAGGATGCCTCACGCCTGCGTCACCAGGAAACCACGCCCACCCCATTGCCGGCAATGGGGGAAAAGTTCTGATACATTGCGCAACATCACGTGATGTCACGAGTTTAACATGTCTGAACTATGGGGTCTTTAGTGGTCCCTGAGATTGGTGATTTTCTTGCAGACATTTCATTTCATTTCCTGATGACGTTACCTAGTTTGGTAATGAAATGTCTGCAAGAAAACCATCAATCTCAGGGACCACTAAGGACGGCAAAATGAAAAATACATAAAACACGAAACCACGTCGTTAAGATACAATATATTTGAAGTGGAGAAATGCTTTTTTTTTTTAAAGGCATGTTTACTTCTTTTTCCCAAATAATTTTTCTCAGAGAAATAAATGCTTTTGGTATCTTTGCACACAATATGGACATTTGTAAGTAAGATGATCTCTTCTTATAAAGAATCTCTTGAATCTTCCATGTTACCTGCATGAGCTGCTGCTTCAGTTTCTGCATTTCAGAGATGTTCAGCTCACTGAAGAGATCAGAGACCGGGTGCAAAGATTCTCCTTTCCTGACGCTGGGAGTCCGAAAATCCCCATTCAGTTTCATGTGAGGTCCATGAATGTGTCCATTCATTTTGTCATCATTATTAGGTTCATTCCCATCTTCTCCAAATTTTAATCCATCTACTGAGATATTAATATGATTATTATACATGCTATCATTTAAATTGATATACTGAGACAGTTCCTTCCTCAGATTGTTCTTCTGCTCTCTTTCATTCTTTAATGTCTCCAAGGCCTCCTCTAGCTGATGGTCTGCAATCTCCTTCAACCGGATGGCGTCTTCTAGCTGGCTATTAAGCAACACCGTATCTTCCTCAAATCGTTTTATCTCATGTTTCAAGCCTTCATATTCAACCTGAATTAAATAAAATAAAGAAGATTCATAATGCTAAAAGTTGGATTTATACACAATCTGCCATTTGCCGCATCTGTTCAAATAAATGTCTATAAATGAGGCATTATGCAATGGGTAAGGAAAGGAGATATTACAAATTTAATAAACTTAGCCCCATGAAGTCATGGTAATTCTATCATTCTATTTTATCTCTGCTAATAATTGACAATTGTGTCACTACAGAATTGCCATATATTAGCAGAGATAAAATATAACAATAGAATTAGAAGTCAGCCTGTTTTCCAAAGCCCCAGATGAAGCTTCACTCACTTGCCAGCCGTCCACCTCCAGCTATGTGACCCAGTTCCTAACAGCCCATGGACCGATACCAGTCTGTGGCTTAGGAGTTGGTGAACCCCTGGTATAAGGTCTCCTGCTTGAGCAGGGGGTTGGACTAGAAGACCTCTGAGGTCCCTTCCAACTGTTATTTTGTTATATTTTATCTCTGCTAATATATGGCAATTCTGGTGCTAAATGTTATCTCCACTAATATATAACAATTCAATCACTATATTTTACTTAATAAGGCATAAGTCGTAAGAGTAACCGAGATTTGTATGGTTCCCGTCACCAAAATGAACATTATCAAGCCCATTTCATGATGCACACTTCTCAGTAAAATGAACTGACCTTTAAGCATAACCATCATATTCAAAAGGGAAAAGTTAAAAAAAAAAGAGTTCAAGTGTTTCTAATTGTGCTATTCAGGCCACAGTAATTACAGATTTTTAAAAGGACTATAAACAAAGATGTTCCTTGCATAAGAAGATTATATTCAGGGATTGTCTCTGTAAAAAGTATTTGCTGAGAGTTCCTAATCCCTTTTCTGGCATAAGGACAAATGTTCACTCTTCTTTGTTGTTTGCTGCCTTGCATTTTAACTACAACGCTGCCTAATTTTGACTTTGCCTCTTGATTCTTTATATTCTTTCTCAACAGGCTGGACTCTCTCCACATTAGATATTAGTGAGCAAACCCATGCGGATGCCAGCCTCTCCCCCGACATTCCTATACAGCATCTGAAAGACATTCATATGTTGTCCGCTGTTATGTTGACCTCTTGCCAAGCTCTTCTCACATCTTTTAAAGACTGTCATTCACAGGTTGCAGCAACTATGCCCAAGAAACCATTACATCCCTGCCATTCATTGAAAGTTGGTGATTGGGTTTTGACAAAAGTATTTCAGCATAAGAATTGCCTGGTTCCTCGTTGGAAGGAGATCCTGTTGACCACCAACACTGCTGTGAAGTGTCAATGGCTGACCTCCTAGGTGCATGCTTTGCACTGTGCAAAGGCACTGGCCCCAGATGAGGAAGCTGTGCAACCCCAGCTATCCAAATCCAATGAGACAGAGACTGAAGCTATGTTTCCGGATCTCCCCTCCTTTCGCCGCGCCCTTAAGACCTGGTTGTTTCAGCGGGCAGGACTGGCCTAGGGGTATTTTAAATTGGTTTTAGCCAAATTTTAGTAGAAGCGGCCGATTTAAAATATTTATTTTTAATGATTTTTAAAACTTTGTATTGTATTGTATTAAACTGTTTTTAACTGGCTGTAAGCCGCCCTGAGTCCTACGGGAGAAGGGCGGGGTATAAATATAATAAAATGAAAATGAAATGAAATGTTCAATAAGGGAGCAAGTGCTAGTAACCTCTGCTCCCCACCAGCATACAGTCTTCAGCCCAGACAGCACCAACAAGCAGTGGGCTCCGATCTGCTTTTCTCAGACAACTGAAGACCTTTATGCTACCTTTTCCAACACAATGGAAGCCCAGAGGTGCATGAAGGAAGTGCTCTGCATAAAAGGATGCCTCACGCCTGCTGTATGGCCTATGGTTGTGTTGTTGTTTATTGCCACTTGTTTCAATTTGTATAACACTGTGATGCCCTCCTGTGTTAATGTAATGTATGTTTTCTATATTACTGGTCCTAATTGTGGTGTTGTCCTGAAGGACAAGAAGCATGAAAGGAAAAATATATCGATAACTATTTTATGAGTGATCTAATTAATTAATCATATTTTAGATTTGAACTTGCTAACTAGCACTTGGCTTTTGCTTGCTGCTGACCTTCAACAGGAAAAGATGACTGTTTGTGGTCGCATGAATTTCTTAAGAAAAAAGGAACATAGAACAAGAATATAGGAGAAAAGAAGAACTGAGCTCTGCGTATGGGTGCAACTTTTGCAATGACACATGTAGGAATGGTAGTGAGGAAAGTAGTGGTTAGAACAAGGATAGGAAAGAACAGGGAAGTGGCCCAGTAACAAGGACAACAGTAGAAGAATAAGGAACTACCATAATGGTCAGTTCCAAGAATAGGGAGGCGACCCGAAGGAGGATTCTGAGAAATATGATGATGTGTTTAACAAGAAAAGGGAAATGGGATGGCTATTGGGTGGCACCAAAATGCTAGAGGTGGGTACAATGTTAAGGTATAAAGCCTGCCTCAAAGATTTGGGTGTTGCCACCTGGCTCAGCCGTCACACTTAATGACTGCTGTCCATTTGGTCCTCATTGCAATAAGTTGTTGAAATGTAAGTACTGAATTCGTGTGTCAAATTTAAATAAATCTCTGGATCCTAAATTGAGAATTTTGTTGTGTGTTGTCTTTTGTTTCTCTTTAACAAGTTTTTCTCCTGACACACAACAATCCTTGATTTTATATTTAGTAAATTGACTACGTGTCATCAAGTTGTTGTCAATGCTTAGTAATTTAAATTTTCTCCAATCTCTACATAGTACCTTTATTTTTTACATTCTGTTCCCTAAATATATTATTTTATATGTTTTCTGAGACTGGTTGAGCCAAAAGGAAAGAAAGGACAAAGGGGAAAGATAAAACAGCTGAAGAATGCACATGTAACCTTCAATTAGCACCCTTCAGGACTGATAACAGAAACTAAAGGTTGTCTAACATGAATTGCATGGCTAGTACAAATAAACAAAGCAGTTATTGTGTTATTTCCTTGAAAAAGAAACTAAATATATCAAAGAGAAAGAAACAAACAAGGCTAGAACAAAGTGTGAGAATATAAGCAGTAAGAATTACCAGGGATAACTGTAACTGAGAAAAATATAAAAGATGAATGGTTAGCACAATGGTTGGCACAATGGTTAGAATACAGGCTAATTCTCCCAACTGCCAGCAGTTCGATTCTCACCAGCTCAAGGTTAACTTAGTCTTTCATCCTTCTGAGGTCAGTAAAATGAAGACCCAAATTGTTGGGGGCAATAAGCTGCCCCTGCAAGCAGCTTAGAGAGGGTTAAAAGCATCATGGAGCGGTATATAAATCTAAGTGCTATTGCTATAATATAAGGAAGTTAAGATTCACCTTCATTTCATCTGGATAGAGAGCCCTTTCTCAAAGCCCTTTGGTCTACTATGTGGAAAATAAAGGTTTTATTTTCTTCTTCTTCTTACTTCCCTTTTAGTAGTTCCATCCTTTAGATAACTTGTGTTCATATGTATGAATGGTAGGTGTGCTTGTTATATATCTTATATTATAACTAAATATTTCAAATCAGTTTAGCATGCTCTTGGCTTCTTAAATAGGGCAGCCACTGTGCCTGCTCTGACATTGCATAAAAGTTCTTTAAAAGTTACCGTAACAAAAACTGGGTTGATAGTCAAATCCTTACATATTTTGTAACCAAAAGCCTGAGCTGTGCTGAAGCCAAGAAGACACAAAGCCATTTATTTTCCTTAAAAGAATCCCCATTTTGTAAATTGGGAATGGAACGGCAAAATTTCCATTCTGAAAGGGTGAACTTATTCATGAAGTCTGGGCAAGGGATTTAAAATTACCAAAAGAAATTACATTTACCTTATTCACTTCGATTTACATCGTTTCCAAAATGGCATAATTATGCAAATGGATTATGTCATTTAAATACATAAAAACTAATGTCAATTATGAATTTGCATTATTTGCATAAAGACAATTGCATAAATATACTTCTGTATTTAATGGGCATTTGGGAACAATGAACATCCTCTAATCTCAAATTGTTACTAAAATCAAGATTTCATTGCACTGATAAAAAGTGATAGTAGTTATTATTATAATATATATTAATTAATTCTTCAGAGTGTTCAGTATACACTGAAAAACCTAATTTTACTATACCTCAATGCAACGGACTTCATATGCAATAGGCCAGAATTCTCCTGTAATTTGCATTATTGTTATTTGCAAAAAGGAATTATCAATCAAATGCTGTAATTCCTTCTGATGCCCTAGTCTCTGACTCAAAATTGGCCTTTCTCAATAATAGTGATCCCTTTAACTGATCCATAAATTACAACAAAATTCCTTTCCTTCTTTTCTATTTTGAAGTGACTTTAAAGATACTTTAAATATTGTTTTCCTATTTATCTGAGTTAAAAAGTCATCTCTATGAACATATACATCCAGGAAATTCTTATTCAATATATATATTTGATGACCATGCTAACCCCATGTAATATCGAATTACATTGGTGTTGTAGTAAGTTGCCTTTAGAATTATTCTTAGTATGATTCAACATATTGTCTCAATCAATTAGTAGTAAATACTGTTGTCAAGGCTGCTAACATCGGATGTTCTTGCTTGACATATATGAAGAAGCAAACATGTTTTATTTAACCTGTGTATCACTTCTAGAGTTAAAATCAGACAAAGAGGGGGGGAAAGTATGTACTCAGGGGATAGTTAGCCACAACAATAATTCAGTACAGTATTTCCAAGGTCAGTTGTAACCAGAGGAGTTACGGGAGGGAAAGTTCACACTTCAAACTAATTGGAGAACGTGATTGATGACTGTTAAATGAAGGAGTGAGTTATGCTTTGTTACGGGTGATTGGGGGAGGGAGGATTCAGTTTTTGGTTTCATTATGTACCTGCCAAAGCTATGTAGCAATAAAAGGATTCTTTAAGGTAAACAAAGCCTCAAAGTTCTTTGAAAAGCTTCTTCTTTCGGAACCATGACAACTGTACTACAAACCTGTTTAAGCCTTATTAAGTATGATTGTTAAGGCTCAACATAGTGTCAGAGGAAAGTTTTAGGTTCAGATCCAACTGGATCCCGAATAAATATGCTGGGCAGCTGCTTGAAGAAAAGGGTAGTATTATTCAGATATATCAATTGAGGTGTTTGCCCTGAGGATGTGTGAAGTCTGATGGTGAGGAAATGTTTTCTCTCGCCATGCAGATTACCTTAATCTGGGGTCTGGGATTTGAGTGAGGGGTCTGGCATGGGGGGGCAGTATAGTGATTAAGAAATTTCCTTATTTTGAGAAAATTTTCCTTCCTGATTCTTGATTCGCGGTTGGCTTCCTGGGAAGACTCAATTTGTCAGTTTTAGCCTATATAGGATGAAAAGGCTTTAAGTGGTTGGTTTTTTTTAAACTTTGTATGTGGGCTTGTTAGAAGGTTTAAGGAAGGCTTTTGCCTGTGAGATGGATTGCAAGGGATTGACCCGGGTGGCATGTGGGTATTTTTGTCTTACAATAGTTACTGAAATGCTAAAAATTTTCTTGAAACAGCATCTCTCTTATTTATAGGCTGCATTTTGTAATAAGTTACTTACTGATCTGAGAATTTGACATTACTCCTTTTTAAATCTTTTATTAAAAACTCCATCTCTGCTTACCTGATTTTGCTTCAGTGTGGAAACCAGCTTTTGCAAAGTAATGTTTTCTTCTTCAAGTTCAGTGTAATCCTGAAGAAGCCGCGCCTCCCTAAATTTATACTCTCTGATTTCATCTTTCATCCGAATTCTCTGCAGCTCCACCATTTCATTGTTCTGAAAAAGAGAAAACAATTCAACTTATTAGTTTTTCATTTCCAAAATAATAAACAAACAAAAAAGACACAGTCAAACTGTTTCGAATATAGAATCAAAATACCATTTCCATTTCTACTGTTTATTATATCACTGGATTAAATCAATACATGCAGGAGGGAGGGGCAATAGCCTCAAGTTTTATTTTTCCCTTGAACACAAACAAGTAGTCATGATATGAATAATTTTTGATTTTCTGTTACAATTTGGTAACAGATTGTGGGTGTACCTTTGAGAAAAACAAGTAATAATAATAATAATAAAGTTGGAAGGGACCTTGGAGGTCATCGAGTCCGACCCCCTGCTCAGGCAGGTACCCTACACCATTTCAGACAAATGGCTGTCCAGTCTCTTCTTTTTCTTGGCAAGATTCTTGGAAGTGGTTTGTCCTTCCTAGGGCTGAGAGTGAGTGGCCCAAAGTCTCCAGCTGGTTTTATACCCAAGGTTTCATGGTCTCCTGCTTAACCAATGCAGATAGTCCTTGACTTACAACTATTTGTTTAGTGACCATTCAAAATTACAACAGCACTGAAAAAAGTGACTTATGACCATTTTTCAACTTACAACGATTGCAGCATCCCATGGTCACATGATCAAAATTTGGACTCTTAGCAACTGGTTGATATTTATGAAGGTTGCAGTGTTCCCGGGTCCTGTAATCACCTTTTGCAAATTTCTGACAAGCAAAGTCAATGGGAAAGCCAGATTCACTTTACAACCACCGTACTAACTTAACAACTGCAGCCATTAACAACTGTGACAAGAAAGGTCGTAAAATGGGGCAACATTCACTTAACAAATGTCTCACTTAGCAACAGGAATCTGGGGCTCAATTGTGGTCGCAAGTTGAGGACTACGTGTACATCCAACTCTCAAAGATATTGTAGCCACATCATTTCCACTTGACCTTCTTGACTGTATAAAGTGATAGAGTTACAGCCTTTGGCAGGCTATTAAGTTATGCCTGTATGTTCCAATAAATAATATTGACCTATCTTTTAGGGTTATTATAAACAACATTACTTCAATTAAGCAAAATATGTTCTATAAATTGAATGACCATTATTATTAATTGGCTTACATTGTCTGAAGTAAAAATATATTGTAGTTTTTCCTCCCTATCAGAGAACTTTGCCTGTTGGATATCCTGGGAACAAGGAAAAGGAAACAAAGCGAAGATCAACTGAGCTCATCTTCAGTTGGAACGTCATGCTGATTGGCAGACCACACCATGCCCTCTAGGTATGGAAGAAAAATGCTTCAATTCAACTCTGTTTGACTGACTTATTGGCCAGCATTTGTTCCCAGGAGCCAAGAATACATAGACTCTCCATCTGGATACTTTCCAAAGAGGAACACAAAGGCACAACCTTTTATGCATACTGACGCAGGAAATTGCACTTGGCAGAGATGGCAAATGTTCATGAACTCAGCAATTCAACAAGACATCCTTTCATCTGATCATGAAACAGTTGACTTTTCCCTCCATTCTCCTTTCCTCGTATGTCTTATCCAAACATGCATAACATGTCACTGCTGCATTTTTCTTTTTTTGAAAACTTAGAAAATATAAATTGCCTCTCTTTTTGGAAATAAACTGTAGGAAGATATTGTCAAGATGACTACTGTAAGCTACTATGAGTCAGTTTGGTCTAATGGTCAAGGGACCAATCTCCAGGCTAGAAACCTGGAGACTGTGAATTCTAGTCCTGCCTTAGGCATGAAAGCCAGATGGGGAATCTTGGGCCAGTCACTTCCTGTCAGCCCATGCCACCTCACACGGTTGTTGTTGTGGGGAAAATAGGAGGAGGAAGGATATTATGCATGTTCACTGCCTTGAATTATTTATAAAAGTAATAAAAGCGGGACCTAAATAAAATTAATGAATGAATCAGTAAGATTGGTCCCTTTGCTGTAAGTCTCCAAACTTATAAAATGTCTCAAAGAAATGCTGAAACTTGATCTGAAGAATCTGATGGAAGTTCTCTATTGATAGAGAATGAATGAATGAATGAATGAAAATGAATGAAAGAAAGAAAGAAAGAAAGAAAGAGAAAGAAAGAAAGAAAGAAAGAAAGAAAGAAAGAAAGAAAGAAAGAAAGAAAGAAAGAAAGAAAGAAAGAAAGAAAGCGCAAAAAGACTGGAATGGTTGCTCTTCTTGACCACTTCATTGGACAAGAAATATCCAAACACCATTGCATTATTTATTTACAAACTTTCTGCAATAAAAATTTGAGCATGTGACGCTGGTGGCTGCCTCTGTTAAAATCCTAAATATGCTTTTTCACGAGGGAATTGAACTTTCTTGTTTTTATTTGAACACATTTCGCTTCTCATCCAGGAAGCTTCTTGGAAAGTTCAGTTGCCTCATGAAAAAGCATCTTTGAGATAACTATGACCTGGATGACTGAGAATCTCCATAGCCTCTGTTAAAAAGAAATCCGGTTTGTTCCAAGCTGGAACAACAAAAATAATGCAAAGCATTGGCATTGCTTGAAGCAGAGATGAAATTTATGTTCGATAGCAGAATACAGGGAGAGTATCAGATCAGCAATTGGATGTGGCCACCCTAAGTCCTTGCCACACAAGTTTTTCATACAAAAAAACCCTTGCTTTTGTTCTCTGGAGTTCCATAGAAAGAGCTCACCCGTTAGAGATACTTTAAAAATGTAATTGACAAGTTCTCCAAAAGGGGGCAGTCTAGGTCAGATAACCTCTAAGGTCAGTTACCCTGCTGAGTTTTACTTTTCTGCTCATTTCCCTCTCAATTAGCATTATAAAGAACAATGACAATTTCATGAAAGGAGATTTTGTTTTTTTAATAGGCAGAATCTCTGACATCCTGAAAAGGATGTTTACCTGAATGAGATATTGCCTTTGGCCAATTTCAATCTCTTCAATCTCTTTGTTAGCTTTTGTTGTTTTTGTATAATTTTTCACATTTTGTCCTGGAAATGAGTATGAAGCACCCTTGCCTGGGAAACAAGGGAAACTGAAGGAAAGGGAAGGTTTGATTTTCTTCCCACCCCTCCACAGTTAACTATCTGCACAGCAGTAGACTGAAACCCAGCAACATATTCCAAACATTTCTTCAAGAGAAATTGAATATAATGGAAAGAAAAACCGTTGAGTCACGGTCACATGTTTCAGTATTTTGTTATGCTAAAAGACAAAATAAAGTAGCAAAGTTTCTTGTAAATGAACCAAGAAAATTCAAAGAGTTCAAAGATGAAAAATGGAAGAATTTTCTTTTTAAGTATCACCTAACTCAGTGGTGGTGAACCTATAACAAGGCCTAATAATATTTCATCTTAATTAACATTTTAACTTTAGTATTTTTTGTATTTATGTATTTGTTTTTAAAAGGCTGTAAGCCGCCCTGAGTCCGCAGGGAGAAGGGCGGGGTAAAAATATAAATAATAAATAAATAAATAAATAAATAAAATGGCACGCATGCCAGAGGCGACACTCAGAGCCCTCTCCGTGGGCACGCGCGCCATGCCCCGGAGATGGCTACTGTCCTTCTTCAACCAGCTGCCCGCTAACTCGCCGAGGTTCCACGTGACCGGATACATCCCAGCACCCATGCGCTCGCTGGCCTCTGTATGGGGGGGCTGATGGTGCCCCTGCCTCGCCTTGCCTACATACATACAACCGATGCCAGCAGAGGAGGCATGCTGCAGGCCCCATTGGCCTGAGGGTCCTGGCTGGCAGGGTGCAGGAGGAGGGCCTTCTCTGCTATGGCTCCTGCCTTTTGAAACATCTTGCCCCCTGGAGTGAAGTCGGCTCCCCCCTCCTGATCTTTCACAAGAGCTTGAAGACCTTGCTCTGCCAGTTGACTTAGGGTTCCAGTGGGGGGAGCATCACAATGGAGGTATTTGGTCAATTAACAACAGATCTCATGCACTCCCATCCTGCTCCTGCCCTCCCCATCTTTTAATTGTGCCACAATAGTTGGTTCGTCATAGTAGTTTATTTATGTCTTTAGCTTTGTATAGTTTAGCTTTTGTATAGTTTTTATATTTTTAAGTTTGTAAACCACCCAGAGTTACCCTGTGGTAAGATGAGAGACCAATAAATTTTACAAATAAATAAATAAATGGTCAGCATGAAAGAAACACAATGAAGCTGTTTGATCATATACGGAAAGTCAATAGTGACTGGAACATGGCTCAGGATTCCAAAGAGAAACAAACTCACTTGGGATTCCAGGAACAAAGTTTTATTGGAACGTTTGCAAAGGCTGGTGGACTTAACTTGCGCAGGAGAATAAGCCACACATACAATTTTCAACAGCATACATTTATACCCTTTCACGAAGCTGATTTCTCCCACCCCTAACGCACTCAACAGCCCACCTGCTTATCTTGGTCAGCTAATCCAAAGGGCCTAAACAGAATACATTTCCTTTCCCCCTCCCAGGAAGACCCTTGCACCTGCTATACCACGGATCGGCAAGCCGCGGCTCCAAAGCCGCATGCGGCTCTTAGAGCCGTCTCCTGCGGCTGCCTGTCCTTAGCCACCATGTGCAGTCTGAAAAAAAAAAGTGGGACTAAAAAAGTTCAACCAATCAATTCAAACTTCTCACAAAGTCCCACAAACCTCTTTCCTTCTTCGGACTGCACGTGGTAGCAGCGGAGGAAGAGCCGGGAGGATTGCTGGAAAGGTGGCAGAACCTGGGTAAAGAGCCGCAGGTGGCCAGTCTCAGGATGCCTTTCCCTGCCCGGCGGGTCTCCCCTCGCCCTGCTCCGCCGCCGCCTCTGTTCATCTGGGGGGGTTGCCGGGGGTCTCGGTAGCTTCCCCTCTTCGCCCACGCCTTTCGGCCGTTTTGCGGGCAGCAGATCTCCGTGGCCTCTTTCGAGATTCCCCCGCGGCACCTACACAGCCCATTCCCCACCTGCTGCACAGCGCCTCTTGGCCGTCCTCCCGCTGCCGCCGCTGCCGCAGGGCTCTCTGCCACC